CTGTCAAACTGTTTTCCAGAGTGGCTGCACTGTTTCCTTATTTGTTTGTTATGCTGGAATGCAGTGCCGCGAACTTGGCTCACTGCAATCTCCATCTCCCAGGTTCAAGCGATTCTCTTGCCTCAGCCTTCTGAGTAGCTGGTATTGCAGGAGCCCACCACCAAGCCTGGCTAATTTTTTTTGTATTTCTAGTAGAGATGGGGTTTCACCACGTTGACCAGGCTGGTCTCGAATTCCTGACCTCAAGCAATCCACCCACCTCGGCCTTCCAAAGTGCTGGGATTACAGGCAGGCGCCACCACGCCCCACCTAGCTGCATGGTTTTCTAATCCTACCAGCAATGAAGGAGAGTTTCTGTTGCTCCACTGATTGGTATTTTAATTGGATTAGCATTAAATTTATAGATTAATTTAGGAGTAATTAGACTTTCATTATATTTATTGGTATTATCCAAGAATAGGGTAGATCTTCCAATTTATGAAATCTTCATTTATATTCCAGGTGGTTTTTTTTTCTTTTTTAGGCAGAGTCTTGCTCTGTTGCCCAGCCTGGAGTGCAGTGACCTGATCTGAGCTCACTGCAACCTCCATCTCCCAGGTTCAAGCAATTCTCCTGCCTCAGCCTTCTGAGTAGCTGGGACTACAGGTGTGCACTGCCACACCCAGCTAATTTTTTTTTAGATTTTTGGTAGAGATGGGGTTTTGCCACATTGGCCAGTCTCATTTTGAACTCCTGACCTCAGATCATCCACCAACCTTGGGCACCCAATGTGCTGGCATTACAGGCATTAGCCACTGCTCTTGGCTCCAAGTAGCATTTAAAGTTTTCGCTAAGCTGTGTTGGGAAATAATTCTCCAGGGGCTCTCCTGTTTCTGCATGTCTTGGGTTTTTCTGCCTTTGTTCTAGACTGTCTTTTCAAGGACATAGTATAGCAAACAGACTTAAAAGATAGAGTTAGTACCTCCCTTAGTGGCAAAGGACAGGCATGTTTAAGGTCTAGTATAAAATATTCAGATTTCCTGAGCTCAGGCCTCTTGTCCTGTAGTGCAGATCACTGCAGGAGCAGGTGTCACCTGGCCCTCTTTTGTCCCGGCCTGCATAAACTAGAGCTCAGGAAATTGTCACAGAAAATGCTAATAGTCTGACTACTGCAATTACTGTAACAAAATCTTTTGTTTCTGAGTAAGGAGTCTTGCCTCTCTGCCAACATCCATCAAACGGTGACAGACTAAACTTTTAGCTTGCAAGCAGGGAAAGATTATTTTTATTTAGCAGGAAGAAAACAGAAAGTAGGAAAAATCTTTTGTTTAGTAGGAAAAAATATGTTGTTTCCATATGATGGAGCTATTCTTATTATTTTAAAAGTCTATTTTTAGACATTTATTATTAAAAGTCTATTTGTTATTACATAGTCACCTTACTGAATTCTCTTGTTACTTCCAATGGTTTTACAGTTAGTTGTCTGAACATCATATTGGCTGCAACAAATAATTTTGCTTCTTTCTTTCCAGTATATCTATTTCTTCTGTCTAACTGTGTTGACCAGTACTTCCAGATATATGCTAAATAGAAGTAACAGTAATTTACAAACTTGTCTAGTTTCTGACTTTAACTGAATTGTTTACAGCACTTCACCATTTATCTTGACACCAGGCTTTGGCTTAAGAATTTATATAGCCACAAAAATAAGTATAGATAGGCATGGCCATATGTACTTGTATTAAGAAAGAATTACTTAAAAATCAAGAAGTAATGTTTCCTTTTTTTTTTTTGAGACAGAGTCTCACTCCGTCACCCAGGCTTGAGTGTGGTAGCACCATGTAGGCTCACTGTAACCTCTGTCTTCTGGGTTCAGGCAAGTCTCCTGTCTCAGCCTCCCGAGTAGCTGGAATTCTAGGCGTGCACCACCACACCAGCTAATTTTTGTATTTAGTAGACATGAGTTTTGCCATATTGGCCAGGCTGGTCTCAAACTCCTGACCTCAACTGATCTGTCTGTCTTGGCCTCCCAAAGTGCTGGCATTATAGGCATGAGCCACCATGCCCAGCCAATGTTTAATTTTATCAAATGATTTTATAGCATCTCTGGATATACAATTTTATTTATGTTTTTACTTTGATCAATTAATAGGCTGTTAGTAATTATATAAATAGGTTTCTTAATATTTAGCTGTTCTTTCCAGGTTCAAATCTATTTAGTTCTGGTACATTATTTTTTAGTAAGTTCCTGAATTCTATTTATGAATACTTTTAATTTATTTTTCTTCATTCATGTTCATAAATTATTCGATAAATTTTGATGCTATTGTGATATACGCATTAAATGTGGTACCAATAAATAATGATTCTGTGGAAAGAAATTGGAAGCTTTTTTTTTTAATGTTCTGAAATAGTTTACTGGCTTGGAAGTTTCTGTTTTTCAAACATTTGTAGTTGTTGGCTTCTAGTGGTTTTCATTAATTTATCTGATTTAAAAATTTATTGTAAGTTTATGAGGTATCTCTCTCTCTCTATCTCTATTTATATCTATCTATCTATCTATCTATCTATCTATCTATCTATCTATCTATATTTGAGACAGAATCTTACTCTGTTGCCCAGGCTATAGTGCAATGGTGTGATCTCAGCTCACTGCAACCTCCGCCTTCTGGATTTAAGTGATTCTTCTGCCTCAGCCTCCCAAGTAGCTGGGACTTTGGTTGAGCTTTTGTATTTTTAGTAGAGACGGGGTTTCACCATGTTGGCCAGCCTGGTTTTGAACTCTTGGCTTCAGGTTATTCACCTGCTTCTGCCTCTCAAAGTGCTGGGATTACAAGTGTGAACCACCATGCTTGGCCCTCTCTCTTTCTTAAATCATTATCTGGGTGTGTTTCTAGCCTTCTGCTGCCCTTCCTTTCCCCACTGCTGTTTTTTTTTTTTTAAATATGTATTGCCCTTAAAACAAAAACAAAAGCCTTTCTAGGTTTAATCCTGTCCTGGTATCTGCTTCTGGGAGGATGGGACTAACATCATTCTTTCCTACGTGGGCTTGACATCATTAGCTTACGTCAGCTATGATCCTGAGAGTAGACAGAGGTCTCTGTTTATCTCTCTGAATCCAAAGCCTCAGGCTAGAATCAACGTGCTGGGAGAGGACAATTCTTCACCAATTTATAGCCCTTGTGTGGGGGTGTTAGAATTGAATATTGAGATAATAATTTCTTTTTTCTCAGAAAATTTTATTTCCTCCACTCTAAGCAGGAAGACAGGACCTCTATGGCATGCAGAGGCTGCCTGAAAGTATCCTCTCATCCTGTCCTTTGGAAAATCTTGACTCATGATGCTAGGTACCTCTGAGAGATAAGCAATGTTTTAAGAGGGAAGGGCAATTAGAGGACATCTGAAGCCCAGGAGGAGAGAGTGGTCCATTGCTTCTCATAGAATGGAGTCTTGAGAACTTCCTTATCTTAGGTGTTAAGGAGCTGTAAGACTCAGAGCAGGGTCGGGATGCACTGTGGACTGTATAGCATAGGCAGTGGGTCCCAAGATGGTCCTAGATTCCCATTCCCAGGTACAGCATGTAAGTATGAGAACCAGAAGACTTCAAAGTACGATGGTTGAGACAATGACGATATTAACAGTCATGTTATAAACTGAATACCAAAGTTTCTTTCTTGGTCTATGTCAACTTTCTGGATTCTTGGGGACGTTAATGGAGACAAAGGAGCCATAAGCATGCCTGAGATTGAGGCCAGTCACGATGGCTCACTTCTGTAATCCCAGCGCTTTGGGAGCTGAGGTGGGTGAATCATCTGAGGTCAGGAGTTTAAGACCAGCCTGGCCAACATGCTGAAACCCCAGCTCTACTACAAATAAAAAAACTTAGCCGGATGTGGTGGCAGGTGCCTGTTATCTAAGCTACTTGGGAGGCTGAGGCAGGAGAATTGCTTGAATTTGGGAGGCAGAGGTTGCAGTGAGCTGAGATCGTGCCATTGCACTCCAGCCTGCGAAATAAGAGCAAGGCTCCATCTCAAAGAAAAAAAAAAAAAGAAAGAAAGAAAGAAAGAAAGAAAAAAAGAATCCCTAAGATTGAATGCCCACCAGCCCAGTGAGGTGGGAATTCAGAACCAGATTTGACCTCATTTCTTTCTTGTCCAGTTTTTCGAGTTATAAATCATATATCATAAAATTTATTCTTTTATTATTTTTAAAGACAGGCTTACTGTGTTGCACTGGCATGAGTGTGGCTCACTGTAGCATTGACCTCCTGGGCTCAAGCTCTCCTCCCACCTCACCTCCCCAGTAGCTGGGATTACCGGCGTGAGTCCCCTCACCCAGCTAATTTATTTTTATTTTTGATAGAGATGAGGTCTCACCAGATGGTCTTGAACTGATCTCAAGCAATCTTTCCACCTACCTTCTCAAAGTGCTGGCATTACAGCTGTGAACCACCACACCTGGCCAAAATTCATGCTTTTAAAGTGTACAGTTTGGTAGCTTTTAGTTCTATGTGTACACAGAATTGTGCAACCATTGACACTATTAAATTCTGGAACACAGCCATTATTCCAAAAGAAATCCCATATATATCAATAATCACTGTCCATTCTTCTCTTCCCTCCGCAGCTCCTGTAAACCACGAATTTACCTTCTGTTTCTATAGATTTGCCTATACTAGACATTTTATGTAGATTGGATTATATAATATGTAACCTTTAGTGTCTGGCTCCTTTCAAGGTGGATGTTTCCAAAGTTCATCCACCTTGCAGCATGTATCAGTGCGAGTTTATTATGCCTATTCTGAAACCTAAAATGCTTCAAAATCTGAACTTTTTTTCCTTTTTTACACAGGTACGTATGTTTATTGCAGCACTATTTAGAATAGCAAAGACTTGGAACCAACTTGAATGCCCATCAGTGATAGGCTCGACAAACAAATTTTGTTAGGCTCAAAGAAATCCCATATACACCACGGAATGACCATGCAGCTAGAGAAAAGATTGAGTTCATGTCTTTTGCAGAAACACGGATGAAGCTGGAAGCCATCATTCCCAGCAAAGCGATACAGGAACAGAAAACCAAACAGAAAACCAAACACCGCAGTTCTCAGCTACAGTGTGAGTTGAACAATGAGAGGAACACCAAGGGGTTAGGGAGGGCGGTTAGGGGAGAGAGCATTAAGACAAAGATACAGTGCATACCATGCGATGCGAGACTTCAAATACAGATGACTCATTGATAGGTATAAGCTAACTACCATGGCACATGCACACCCATGCAGCAGTCTTGCAGGTTGTACGCTTGGATCCCCGAAACTAAATGTTTTAAAAGAGAGAAAAGCTAAGGTCATGATTCGTTAACTAACGAATGAACTCTGAAAAGGGTTACCACCAGTCAAACGCTATGCTAATATCTAAATATCTTCTACTAATTCAAAGTTAATGATGCATAAAGAACCTTATAGACACAAAGCAAATAACTTGAAAGTATTTTTATTTCTAATTTTGCAAACCAGTTGTATCCCCCACAGGGGGTGCACCGTTCCTGGAAGTACTGCAATACCAGGTCGATGCGTGGAGTGGACGGAGCAAGCTCCTATTCCATCTCCCAAATCCAGAAATAGATTTAATATGGTGTTCTCAGATGGAGAACATATCAGATATTAAACTGATAAGAACAGATACTACACTTGATCTTAGCCAAAAGGCCGAGAAGCGATGCTGTCACCTTCGTCCCCGCAGTCACCGTCCCACTCTCATCCACATTCAAGTTGCGGTGAGAGCTTCAGCCTTGCTCCTCCTCTCATTCCCTTGATCTCTTCCACACCACTATTCATGCCATTACACACTCGGGCCGATTTCTTATTCTCCACCTTAGAAAAGGGAAATTTTACACCCGAGATTGTTCCGGCGTTCCCGGGCTTTGATTTCAAATTTGCATTCCCCGCCCTTTCCCAGAGGGCGTGGCCTCCGCGGTTGAGTCGGCCCCCGGGTCGCCTCCTCTTGGAGAGCCGGGGCTCCGCTGGGGGTAACATCCTTCTTTGTCTCAACCGAGCGAAAAGACAGAACCGAAAGAGACTGGGGGCGAAGGCGAGGGGGTCTGTGGCAGACACCTGCCATGTGTCTACCATTGCCATGTGTCTACCATCGCCATGTCATACAGAATAAGTAGTTTCACTGCCCTAGTAATCCCATGGCTCACCTATTCATCTCGCTCTTCCTGGTCCTCCACGGAATCCCTGACAACAGTTGATCTTATTACAATCTTTACAGTTCTGCCTTTCCTAGAATGTCATAGAATCATACAGCATATAGCCTTTGCATCCTGGCCTATCTCACGGAGCAGTTTGCATTTAGGTTTCTGCCATGTCTTTTTGTGGCTTGATGGCTAATTTCTTTTCATTACTGAATAGTATGTTATTATATGAATGCACCACAGTTTTCCCACTCAACTATTGAAGAACACCTTGGTTACTTCTAATTTTTGGCAATTATAAATAAAGCTGCTATAAACATTTATGTTTGGATTTTTTTTTTTTTTTTTTTTTTTTTTGAGACTGAGTTTCACACTTATTGCCCAGGCTGGAGTGCATCTCGTCTCACCACAAACTTCCCCTTCTGGGTTCAAGCGATTCTCCTGCCTCAGCCTCTGAGCAGCTGGGATCTCAGGTGATCCACCTGCCTTGGCCTCCCTAAGTGCCTGGATTACAGACATGAGGCACTGTGCCAGGCCAGAAAATAGAAATATATGTAATACATTTTAGAAAGAAAATTCATTTTAAAATGAATTTAAAAATAACTAAGTTAAAGTTATATGCATATTATGCCATAATCCTTTTTCTCCAGTATCAGGGAAGTTCCGTACATTGCACCAACTAAAGTAGTTTACTGGCACGTGATAGGGAATATGTAGATGGTAGCAACATTTCAAATGCCTTACAGCCTTCTTTAGACAGACTTCCCACCCCCAGCTTTGGCCCCTACCATTCTTCCTCCGTCCCTCCCTCCCTTCCTTCCTTTTTCTTTCTTTCTTTTTAAATGGATTCTTGCTCTGTCATCCAGGCTGGAGTGCAGTGGGCAACCTCTGCCTCCGGGGCTCAAGGGATTCTCTCGCCTCAGCCTACTGAGTAGCTGGGATTACAGCTGTGTGCCACTGCACTTGGCCAATTTTTTGTATTTTTATTAGAGACGGGGTTTCACCATATTGACCAGGCTGGTCTTGAACTCCTGACCTCAGGTAATCCACTCACCTCGGCCTCCGAAAGTGCTCAGATTGCAGGCGTGAGCCATGCACCCCCCCCATTCTCATTCTTTTCTTCTTTTCTACCTTATTTACTCTGTCCTGATTTGGTGTCACAATATTTAGTGGGACTGGCCAGCTACAATCCTCCTATAAAGATGGAAATGCAACTGAACTGAGCCAAAGACCTCAGCAAGTAAAGGAAGGAAGCACCCAAGAAACAGGCATGAGCTTTGTCTCTTTTATTCTTTACTACAACAGAATGAGCTTCATTTATGTTATTTCATAATTTGTTGTTTATTTTTTCTTAATACTATTCTATTGTCTTTTTTTTTTTTGAGACAGAGTTTTGTTCTTGTTGCCCAGGCTAGAGTGCTAACTACAACCTCCACCTTCTGGGTTTAAGTGATTATCCTGCTTCAGCCTCTTGCGTAGCTGGGACTACAGGCGTGGGCCCCCATGCCTGGCTAATTTTTGTATTTTTACTAGAGATGGGGTTTCACCATGTTGACCAGGCTGGTCTTGAACTCCTGACCTCAAATGATCTGCCTACTTTGGCCTCCCAAAGTGCTGGAGTTACAGGCGTGAGCCACCGTGCCTGACTCTATTGTCTTTTTGAGGCATTAAGTATACTTACTTAAAAATTGTATTAAGATTTTTCTATTACTTACTTTTTATTAGGATTTGTTTTCTTGTGTCTTCTTACTTTTTTCTCATGATTTGAAAAGTAGCCAACAAAGTCAACATTTGGAAACTGAATTCACTTACCACAAAGTGTAAATGGCAGAACAATCTTAGGGTGATGTGAAGCGTAGAGTTAGGTTTCTGAATAAGAGTTCCCTCCTTTCTGCTGATATTAAATGCAGATTGTCACTTCATGATGGGCTCTACTTGGAACCTCCAGTTTAGTTTTTATTTTATTTGTATAAATTTATGGGGGTAGATTGTGTAGTGGTCAAGTCAAGGCTTTTAGTTCAACTGAGTAATGTACGCTGTATCCATTAAGTAATTTCTCATCATCCACCCCCTCCCACCCCTGACCTTCCCCTGTTTCCAATATCTATCATTCCACTCTTTTTTTTTTTGAGATAAGAGTCTCATTCTGTCACCCAGGCTGGAGTGTGGTGGCATGATTACAGCTCCCTGCAACCTTGACTTCCTGGGCTCAGGTGATCCTCCTGCCTCAACCTCCCAAGTAGCTGGGACCACAGACACGTGTCACCAAGTCCTGGCTAATTAAAAAAAAAAAATTATTCATAGAAACGGGATCTCGATATATTGCCAAGGCTGGTCTCAAACTCCTGGGCTCAAGTAATCCTCCTACCTCAGCTTCCTGAAATGCTGGCATTATCAGTGTGAAGCACCATACCCGATCCTATCCTTCCACTCTCTATGTCCTGTGTACACATTTTTTAGCTATCACTTGTGAGTGAGAACATGCAGTATTTGTCTTTCTGTGTCTGATTTGTTTCACTTAAGATAGTGTTCTCCAGTTCCATGCATGTTGTTGCAAAATACATGATTTCATTTTTTAAAAAAATTTTTTATTATGGAGTCTCGCTTTGCGTAGAACCTTCAGTTTGGACATTAGGTCCTTTACTCACAGATCAGGGCTCCTCCCTGTCGGTGATAATGGGGAATTATCTTGGATACAGCAATGCCTGGGTCCAGGTTCCATGTGTGCCTCTTTCTCAGCCTCTCCTCTTTTTCCTGTGGTCTGACCATAGGCAAGTTTTATGTAAACTATAGCTTCGGCTCTTGGTCACAGCTTCTCCAACCCCCTTTCCCTCTGAGCTTGACTCTAGTCTCCCTCTTCCTTGTTATTCTACAGGGCTTGGATTCTTAGCCACCTCTGACTGTTTCCAGACCAGGAGTCAAAAACCTGTGGCTTCAGCCCCTACATTTGAGATACTGCATATAGTAGCACTCAATAGATATTAATTGAATGAATACATTAATCTTGTTTTTGATTGCAATTGTGTCTCTTTGGTTTAAAAAATCTTTTATTGTTGAATTTGGGGAAAAAAAGGGGCATTTACCGGTGGATGCATTTTTTTTTTGAGACAGGGCCTTGCTCTGGTCATCCAGATGGGAGTGCAGTGGTGCAATCATGGCTCACTGCACATTCAACATCCCAAGCTTAAGTGAGCCTCCCACTTCAGCCTCCCAAGTAGCTGGGACTTCAGATACATGCCACCACACCTGGCTAATTTTTAAATTTTTTTCTAGGGACTGGGCCTCCCTATGTTGCCCTGGCTGGTCTCAAACTCCTGGGCTCAGACGATCTGCCTGTCTTGGCTTCCTAAAGTGCTGAGATTACAGGTGAGAGCCACCATGCCTGGCCAAGGTGAGTGCACTAGCTTATTCTTCTCCTTCTTCTTTTTGAGGCAGGATTTCACTCTGTTACCCAGGCTGGAGTGCAGGCAGTAACTCAATGCAGCCTTGAATTTCTGGGCTCAAGTGATTCTCCTGCCTCAGCCTCCTGAGTAGCTGGGACTATAGGCATGCACCACCATGCCTGGCTACTTTAAAATACATTTTTGTAGAGATGAAGTCTTACTACGCTGCCCAGGCTGGTCTTGAATTCCTGGCCTCAAGCCATCCTTCTGCCTTGGCCTCCCAGATTGTTGGGATTACAGGCATGAGTGAGCCCCTGCACTTGGCCCAATAGCTTAGTCCTTACTGACACTTGATAACTTAAGTGTTATTATACTTATGGTGTGAAGGGAGGGAGGAATGATGAGCTAATCTAGTAGACTAGGGCACAGAGACTCAGGAAAAAAAAGGTTCCCTGGCTCATTAGTAATATCGAGACTTGCAAAGTCATAAGATCACAGGAGTTGTAAAGGATCACAGAGGTCATGGAAGACAACCTCTATGACATTTCTGATGGATGCTCATCTGGCTATTTAAATACTTATAGCAATGAAGAACTCATTGTCCTATAAGTTAATTCATAAACATTAGAAACAGACAATTCTTTAGACTGGGCCAAAAAAGACATCTTGGAAATTTCCACCCATTGACCTGCAAACAAATCCACTTCCACGTGGTGTCAAGTATGTGCCTTTGAGTTTTCATTGTTTCAGGCCAAACACTTCCAATTTCTTCAGCAGCGGTGAGTAGTGATTCAGAATAGAGTCTCTGCAATTATGGTCAAGGGCAATGATTTATGTAGCTCAGGGGTGGGCAGTCTTCTGTAAATGTGCAGATAGTGTAAAATACTTCAGGCTTTGTGGTCCATACAGTCTCTGCTGCAACCACTCAATTCTGCAATTGTCACACGAAAGGAACCACAGACAACATTTAAATATATAACTGTTTTGCAATAAAGCTTTATTTATTTATTTTTGGAGACGGAGTCTTGCTCTGTTGCCCAGGCTGGAGTGCAGTGGCACAATCTCAGCTTACTGCAACCTCTGCCTCCTGGGTTCAAGCAATTCTCCCACCTCAGCCTCCCAAGTAGCTGGGATTACAGGCACCCGCCACCAAGCCCAGCTAAATTTTTGTATTTTAGTAGAGACATGGTTTTTATTTATTTATTTATTGCATTTTAGGTTTTGGGGTACATGTGAAGAACGTGCAAGATTGTTGCATAGGTACACATGTGGCAGTGTGATTTGCTGCCTTCCTCCCCTTCACCTATATCTGGCTTTTCTCCCCATGCTATCTCTCCCCAACTCCCCACCCCCCACTGTCCCTCACCTATTTCTCCCCAACAGACCCCAGTGTGTAGTGCTCCCCTCCCCGTGTCCATGTGTTCTCATTGTTCACCACCCACCTATGAATGAGAATATGCAGTGTTTGATTTTCTGTTCTTGTGTCAGATTGTTGAAAATGATATTTTCCAAGTTCATCCATGTCCCTACAAAGGACACTAACTCATCGTTTTTGATGGCTGCATAATATTCCATGGTGTATATGTGCCACATTTTCCCTGTCCAGTCTATCATCGATGGGCATTTGGGTTGGTTCCAGGTCTTTGCTATTGTAAACTGTGCTGCAATGAACATTGGTGTGCATGTGTCCTTATAGTAGAACGATTTATAATCCTTTGGATATATACCCAGTAATGTGATTGCTGGGTCAAATGGAATTTCTGTTTCTAGGTCCTTGAGGAATCACCACACTGTCTTCCACAATGGTTGAACTAATTTACACTCCCACCAACAGTGTAAAAATGTTCCTATTTCTCTACATCCTCTCCAGCATCTGTTGAGTAGAGACATGGTTTCACCGTGTTGCCCAGGCAGGTCTCGAACTCCTGACCTCATGATCTGCCCGCCTTGGTCTCCCAAAGTGCTGAAATTACAGGCATGAGCCACTGCCCGGCCACAATAGAACTTTATTTACAAAAACAGGGTAGGCTTGGATTTGGGTGGTAGTTTGACCATCTCAGATTTAGTTAGTTCTCACATGGTTTCTAGACTTTCATCAATTGACAGGATTGATCTGGAGGACAACACTCTAAATGAGGGTGACCAATATGCATCTAACAGGCTTGCTGCCTCTCATAAGAAGAACAAAGATATAGAAGATGGTACACAGACGATTTAGCAGAAGAGAATGCTGGCTCTGCAATGTACGGTGCCTTTGAGCAATTATTCATCTTGTTGTGAACCTTGGCCTCGGCATTCTTACAGCCAAGATTCTCATACCTGTTCTGTAGAATTGCTTTGCAGATTAGGGATAAAACGTGCAATGTACTTAGCTCAGTGTTGGGCACTTAGAAAGCAGCAATAAATATTAGCTGTTGTACATGATGATGTGCTGTTCAATTCTACTGTGACTGAACATTCTCAGTCTAACCTAGAGTAAGGAGAAGGAAAATTCCACTCTGTTTGAAATTAGGCTACGGCAGTCAGTTTCTTCCGTATTCACTCTGCTGCTCACTCCACCCTCTGTGCCTCCACCTGTTACCCAATTAACATCCTATAATGCTGAACACCTGTGCGGAAGCCATTAGCAGGCTCCTTTCCAGCACTGTCATTGCCACCTCACTAACCCTGAACCCCCAGCCCACTGCCGGGTCTTGCAGGTGTTTGCCTGCAGGAAGACTTTCAGGTTTGCTGAGCTTGCCCTGGGAGAAGAAATTAATGTGGTAATTAATGCAAATGTCTTTGCAGAAACTTCTCTCCTGGGCCTTAATCAAAAGAGATGGATCTTCACATTTCTTCAACTTTGAAGATATAACTATTTGTGTGTTGGGGGGTGTTGGGAGAGGTGAGTGCATTGAGGAAAAAAGAGAAACAAGGAGGAGAGCCAGAGAAAAGCCAAATGAGAGGGCAGAGGGAGAAAACCAGCTTTCTTCTGTATACCAGGTGGTGAGAGGGAAAGTCAGAGACAGCAGTTTTTGAAATCTCAACTCTCACCTTCTTAAGCTCAAATTGAGGAAAGTGAGGAGGCCTGGTAATCTCATGATTCTTCCCATAAAATGGACCAAGAAGTGACTTTCTACGTGGCTCCCATGCACCTGGCATGATGCTAAATGCTCTGCTATTGTTATTTTTTATTTTTATTTATTTATTTTGAGATGAAGTTGCCCAGGCTGGAGTGTGATGGCACGATCTCAGCTCACTGCAACCTCCACGTCCCAGGTTCAAGCAATTCTCCTGCCTTAGCCTCCTGAGTAGGGATTACAGGCATGCGCCACCATGCCTGTCTCATTTTGGTATTTTTAGTAGAGACGGGATTTCACCATGTTGGCCAGGTTGGTTTTGAACTCCTGACATCAGGTGATCCACCCGCCTCGGCCTCCCAAAGTGCTGGGATTACAGGCACGAGCGACCACGCCCGGCCTCTTATTTTTATTTTTGAGACAGTGTTTTGGCCTTGTTGCCCAGGCTGGAGTGCAGTGGTGCGATCTCGGCTCTGCAACTTCTGCCTCCTGGCTTCAAGCAATTCTCCTGCCTCCGCCTCTTTAGTATGTGGGACTACAGGTGCCTGCCACTGTGCCTGGCCAATTTTTGTATTTTTAGTGGAGTTGGGGTTATACCATGTGGGTCAGGCTGGTCTTGAACTCCTGACCTCAAGTGATCCACCTGCCTCGGCCTCCCAAAGTGTGGGATTATAGGCATGAACCACCGTGCCCAGCCTCTGCAGTTGTTATAATTGCTTTTGTTGACCCATATATCTGAACACTTAGTGTCCAGGATGCCAGCCATGGGCTTGCTCTAACTACCCCACTTGCCAGCATCAACAGGAAGTTGTGCTTATCAAATCATTGCCTTTGGAACCACAAGAATGCAGGAAGTTCAGAGAAGTTCTTCTCAGCCATAATGTGTACATAAACCACCTGGTACCTTTGTTAAAATGCAGATTCTGATTCAGTGCATCTGAGGGAGTGGAGATTCTGCATTTTACTTATTTATGTTTTTACTTATTTGAGACAGAGTCTTGTGCTGTTACCCAGGCTTGAGTGCAGTGGTGCTATCATAGCTCACTGCAGCCTTGAACTCCTGGGCTCAACCGATCCTCCTGCCTCAGCCTCCTGAGTAACTAGGACTGCAGGTGCACATCACCATGCTAGACTAATTTTTATTTTCATTGTTTTATAGAGACAGGGGTCTCAGTGTGTTGCCCAGGCTGGTCTTAAACTCTTGGCCTCAGGTGATCCTCTTGCTTTGGCCTCCCAAAGTACTAGAATTATAGGCATGAGCCACTGCAGTTGGCTTTGATTCTGCATGTTAACAAGCTCTCAGGTGACAGTTATGCTGCTCTATTACAGTTGGGTAGTAAGAACGTAGGCCAATGCCATTTTCAGTCAGTCTGAAACACTACTGCTTCCAACATGATGCTGTCTTTTTTTTTTTTTTTTTTTTTTTTTAGACGGAGTTTCGCTCTTGTTACCCAGGCTGGAGTGCAATGGTGCAATCTCGGCTCACCGCAACCTCCGCCCCCTGGGTTCAGGCAATTCTCCTGCCTCAGCCTCCTGACTAGCTGGGATTACAGGCACGCGCCACCGTGCCCAGCTAATTTCCTGTAATTTCTAGTAGAGATGGGGTTTCACCATGTTGACCAAGATGGTCTCGATCTGTTGACCTCATGATCCACCCGCCTCGGCCTCCCAAAGTGCTGGGATTACAGGCTTGAGCCACCGCGCCCGGCCGATGCTGACTTCTTTTACTGATAGGGATGTTTAGTTGTTTCATAAAGTGTTAGAGGTTCATAAAGGTCAGCGTCTGTGGGCTCAGGGCTCATTTATGCTTTGAGCCTGCTTGCCCAATCCAGATTCTGACTCTGAGCCTTCCAGTATAGTCTATAGACATCAACTCTGATGATGAACCAGTATTGATCCTTGTTTCATACTACTAAGACCATTTCTTTTTTTATATTAATTAATTATCT